TAATCCCCAATGCAACAGTGTTGGCAAGTGTGACCGTTAAGAGGTGATCAGGTTGTGAGGGCAGTCCTCACGAACGGATTAACGGTATGACTGTGGGAGTGAGCGTTACGGCAGGAGTCGGCTCTTAATGAAAGGATGAGCTCAGCCCTCTTTCCCTCTCGCTCAGGCACGACCTCTCGCTCTCTCACCTTCCGCCATGGACGGCACTGCACGAAGGTGCTCATGGGATGCTGGTCCCTAAACCTTGGGTTTCTCAGCCTCCGGAGCCGTAAGAAGTAAATCTCCGTTCCTTACAAATTATCCAGTGTCAGGTATTCTGTCAGTGCTGCACAGAATGGACGAACATGTTGTCCTTCTCCCAGATATCCACTAGCCACATGCGCCTATGTCCTTCAGCCTGTGTTCAAATGGCATTTTATCAGTGAGGTCTTCCCCGAACCCTCTGTATGATTTCGCCTCTACCTCCAGCCAACCCTGTCCACCCTGCTCTTCTTTTCTTCCTCCACAGCGCTTTATCACCTCCTGACACATTTCACATGGACTTGTTTAGTAGGTCTCCTCCCACTCTGTGAATGCAGGGACTGTTCTGTTCACTGCTGAACCTCCAGTGGATACAGCGGTACTTGACACACAGTGGGCGTTCAATATTTACTGAATAGATGACTGATGATATTCCATAGCCAATTTCTCTTAGTGAGAACAATTTCTCCGACCGGACAACAGGAGGTACCGAAGATTCCGTTAGTAGGATTTTACTTTCCTTACCATTCTTTCTTCTTTCTTTCTTTCCTTTTTTATCCATTTTAAAAAAATTCATCAGAGAATATGATCATTTTTGTCTTAACTGTCATCATTTTTAAAAACTCAAGAGAAAAAGAAAAGCCTACTGTATTCACCCATAATTGTGCCTTTTCCATTGTTCTTTCTTTCTACCTGATGTTCCAGGACCCCTTCTTTTATCATTTCCTTTCTAATTAGATAAACTCCTTTAGCCATGATTTTAAAGTAGGTCTGCTCACAACAAATTCTTTTTGCTTTCCTTCATCTGTGAATGTCTCAACTTCCCCTTCATTCCTGAGGGATAGTTTCATCGAACATAGAATTATGGGTTGACAGTTCTTTTCTTTCAACACGTGAAAAATGTTATATTATTTCCTTGTGACCTCTGAGGTTTCTAATGAGAAATTTGTCACTCAAACTGTTTTTACTCTATAGGTAGGGTGTTGTTTTCCTTTCACTGCTTTCAAAACTTGTTATTTGTATTTAGTTTTTGTAAGTTTGACTATGATATGTCTTAGCATGGATTTCTTTAGGTTTATTTTGTTGGGGTTCATTGAAGTTGTACGTTTGTCTTTTGCTAAATATGGGGAAATAGTAGCCATTATTTTTTCTAACACTTTTTCAGCCCCACACTTTCTCCTCTCCTGGCATTTCAATGACATAAATGTCAGACCTGATATAGTCTCACAGGTTGCTGAGGCTCTGTTGATTTTTTTTTTCTTTTTAGTCTGCTCTTCGTTGAATAATGTCTATTGTTCTACCTTCGAGTTCAATGATTCTTTCTTCTTTCATCTCCATTCTGCTGATGAGTCCATTCAATGACTTTTAAAATTGGTCATTGTACTCTACTATTCTAAAATTTTCATCTAATTCTTCTATTTTTGATATTTTGGCTGAAACTTTTCATTTCTTTTTTGAGACTTTCTATTTTTCATTTGTTTCAAGCATGTTTGTAATTGATTGTGGAATAATTTTTATGATAGCTGTCTTAAAATCACTGTCCTCTAACTTCAACAATTGTGTCATCTTGCTGTTGAGATCTGTTGATTATCTTTTCTCATTCAAATTGAGATAGTCATTTCAAGTGATTTTTAGTTGTGTCTGCCATGTCATTCCTTGGATCCTCAGGTTCTTAGTAGTCTGCCTTTTTCTTTCCACCTTTCAAGTCTTTTTTAATTTTTTAAATATTTATCTAACATCCAAAGTTTCTGCCACATTAGGAGGGGAACTAGGGAGAAGTGTGTCTATCCCATCCTGTCTAGAACCAGAAGTGTTCGCAGATGTTTTTCTGAGAATGAATATTCTGCTCATCCAATACTAATGAGAACAAAAAGTCCAAATAATATCACCAATTTTGTGTGGTATACTTCCCCCATATCATGAGGTCAGTCCCAACCTTACACTGTGCAAGCTCAGCTGGTAGCAAGGGGTAGTTGTTATCCACCCACCCATTTCCATAGCTTATTTCCTTGCCTGGAATGTTCTCCCTTCCTTTTTCCCATGTCCTTCTCCAAGAATCCACCAGAGAACAAGTTTCTTTGTACATCTCTCCCCACTCCCTCTGCTCAAACAGAGTTTTCTCTTCTCTGCCCCAGATTTTAACCATTCCATGGTTTGTTTTTCTTGAGAAAAGGGATCATGACTGACATGTATCTGTACCATGGACTAAGTGCTAGATGCAAAGGACACTCTCAAACATGAATTCATATAATTCACCACATGTTAGTAATGGAACAGACTCAAAACAATATCTAATCCAACCCCTAAGTTTGCAGATAAGGAAAATGAAGTTCTTCATTTATAAAGTAACACTTAACAAAAAAATAAAATAGGAACAGAGGGACTACACAAAGCTCAAAGTAGCACAAAAACAACAGGGTGTGTCGGCCCTTATCTGTTACATAATTAACTCAAAGCTAATCACTTTATTTACAGATCATTAAGTACGATGATTACCTTGCCTGGAAAATAATTTCCAGTCTTGAGAGAAGGAAATGTGTTATTATCTTAACATACACCATTTATTTTTGGAAATAACAGTCAGCTCCCTTCAATACCTCCTTAGGACTTTTAGATTAGATTCGTTTGCCAATCCCTTGAGTTTAACACTAGCAATTTCTCCGTCTTTCAGCCTAGAAGACTGTCGGCCCTGAAAACGAATTATCTTTCATAATCTTTCACTATTTGTTGCCTCTACTTCCACGGAAACTCTACAATCATGACAAAAGCCTCTAACATGGAGGCCACATAAAGTGATGGAGAAGGCCACATGGTGGCACAGCCTGTCATCCCGCGCCTTTGGGGGGCTGAGGTGAGTGGATTACCTGAGCCCGCGGGTTTGAGACCCGCCTGGGTGGCGAGACCTCATCTCTACAATAAATCAAAAAATCAGCCGGGCGTGGTAGCGCATGCCTGTAATTCCGGCTACTTGGAAGGCTGAGGCGGAAGGATCGCTGGAGTCCAGCAGGTCGAGGTTGTGGTGGCCTGGAGCGGCCACTGCACTCTAGTCTGAGTGACAGAGTGAGACTCCAACTCAAAAACAAACAAACAACAACAAAAAAAACAACTGGAGACAAAAGCCCCCCAGCCAAGGAAGCCACTGAGGACATTTCAGGGCTCTCGGGGCTCTGCTCAAACTCCACCTCCTTAGAAAGGCTTTCCCTGATCACCCTCTCTACTCCTGCCCTAACTACCACTTACCACTTGCCCTGGTTTCCTTTTTTGGGGGCCTTTATCAGTATCTGAAGTTGCTTAAATGTCTGCTCACATGCTCCTGAGCCAAAATGTGAGCTCTACAAGTAAAAGAACTGGCCAGTCTTGTTCACCACAGTATCCCCAAGACTTAGAACAGTCACTAGCACATAGCAGATGCTCAATCAATATTACCAAATAAGTAAATGAAGGAATGCACACATTTTCCCAAGTTTGGCCGGCCTAACCCTAACAGTCATTTACTGCCACAGCACAGAACATTCTGCTGGCAACATGTGGATGCCTCACTAGAGCCAGTGGGCCATAGTGACATTTTAATCAGGGATAAAAATAATCAGTCATATAAGACCTTCACAGGTACTTTGCAACTATAGCTCACTCTCTGCTCTCTCTGATGGAAGTGGCCCTGCCTGTCTGACTTGTTCACTTGACACCTGCAGGGCCAGGGAGCTTTTAAACTGTGGGGTGGGGAGGGAGGGGTATGAGCAGAGCTTAGCCGAAAGCATGGTTATCACTGACTCAAACTCAGGGGGAGAAGGGCAACACATTATCTGAGAGGGAAGCAGAGAGACAATGGGGACAGAAAGGCAAAGACTTAGGCAAGCAGGGCCACAAGAGACCCTTACAACTGACTCAGACACTGTCACTGGTTATATAAGCCCAACTCCTCATGTCTCACATGTGGTCTATAGCTGGGCTTCTCAAGCTTCAGGGGCCCTAACAACCATCTGAGAGATGGTTATAACAGAGATCATGGGGCTCACCCCACAGAATTTGATTCCTTACCTCAAGGCAAGGCCCACAGACGTGTATGTCTCACAAACTCCCAGGTGACGCCATGCCGCCACTCTGCAAACCCCATGTTGACAAGCAGATTACATGGGCTACTGAATGCCAGAAGCATGGCTAGCATAATTGAGAAGTGAATTTTTCATTCTACTTAAATGTCACTAATTTAAACACAAATAGCCACCTGTGGCTAGCAGTTGCTGTACTGGACAACACAGACCATACCCTTCCACACTGTGGGAGGTTCTACCAGTCAGCACTGCTCTACGGCATTTGGACACTAGGCTTCCACCGGCGGCCACAGCCTCTCCTCCCCACAAGCAGAGGTGGGTCAGTTTAAAAGCAAAACCTTTAAAACAAAGCCATACTTATCTGCCTCCCTATCCCAACTTGACCCAGCAATCTGAGAAGAGATAAGCTTAGAACAAGCCTCTCAGATGAGCGATTCTGATGCTGGAGTGGTCCTGGAGTCTGGTGGGAGAGGGGGAGAAGAAAGCAACAGAACTGCTGAGACCGCCAGGTGCCTCCCCCACCAGCAAGCTCATCAGGCAGAGGGATGATTTAAGTCCTATAAAACTCTAGAAAATCAGACTCACCTGTCTTCTGGTATGGGAGGGGAAAAAGGCAGTAATTCACAGCCAAAGATATATTTCAGAGCCATCTACTATTTTAGACCACCTGCCCCGTTTCCACAGATATGGAGGACTGGCCATACTCACATTAAACACCTTCACGTCATCTCTGTTTCTTATTTCTTCCACAAGGGCTAGCGGTTTTCCTTTAGGTACTGGGATTGTGCCGAGGATTACGGTCCCTGGTGTGGACAGCGTCTGACGAACAGCTTGAATGAAAGGCTGACTGAAGAGTTCCATTTTCCCAATCTCATCGATGACACACACTCTCTGCCCTGGACCCCTGCTGGAAGCCGCCTGAAGACGACAAAGACATTCGCTGGGACACCAAGGTCCTGTTGATCAAAGGGTTCGTGAGTCCTACCCCCAGTCGCTCACCAACCAACGCCCATGCCAGGGTGAGTCAGCTACGCTTTGGAAGTCAGACTATTCTCACAGTCCACATGGAGCAAGTAACTGGAGAATTCATCTCCAAGGGCTCCCTTGAGGACTGAAGCATCCAGAAAATCAATTTCCTGAATTCACCTAGATTTTCTCAGTTTTCCTTCCTCTAGAAAGCTTCCCATAATAACCAAGCTTGATGTTTATGTACACCCAGAAAAATGAGTGGTACCCAATGCTATGGGTTTAAAAGAAATGAGACCGTAGCCTGGAAGCCCTTATTCATAATAATCACAATACTTTTTTTTTTTTTGAGTTGTATGAGATTCCCAGTCTGCAGAGGAGGAGATAACTGCTACAGAAAGATGTCTGCATATGATCGGGTCTATACGGGTTTGTGGAAAGACGTGAAAATAAAAGGAGTGTGAATTAAAAGAAAAAACCGAGCACAACTGCGACCTTTAAAGTTCCAGATTTCTTTCTGATGCCTTTGTTCCGATTCATATCCGTCATTTCCTTGAAAATCCCACTGGGAACAGGACAGCAGCTAGCTTCCCAGAGTTCGAATGAGCCCTAGTTCTTGAGATCCACGCCCTTAAGCTGCCCCCTCCCATGCAGCACCCTGAGGGTCCGTGTGACCACTAAAATATGGCGAAAGTGATGGTATATCACTTTGGAAATAAGGTTTAAAAAAAGACTGCTGATTCTGTCTTGGACTCCCTCTCTCAAATCGCTCACGCTGAGAAAAGAGAGAAGCCTAGCTGTGAGGACACTCAAGCAGCCGATGGCAGGTTCATGTGGTGAGGCACTGAGGCCTCACGCCAATGGTCAAGGGGAACTGGACATTACAGCAACCCTGTGAGTGAGCTCAGGAGGTTTTCCCAGTCACGACTCAGATGTCCATGGCCCTAGTCGACAGCTGAACTGCAGTCTCCTGAGAGCTCCTGAGCCAGACCCATCTAGCTAAGCTGTACCTGGATTCCTGATCCTCAGAAGTTGTGTAAAATAGTGTTTGTGTTGATTTAAGCTGCTGAATTTTGAGGTAATTTGTTACATAGCAACATATAACTGATACATATGGCCTCTCTAGAAAGCCTTCCTACAGAAAGTTGATACGACTTTGGTCCTTTCATAGGAGGGATCCAACACAATATTTAATAAACACTTTAATGAATGCTGATGACAAATGAATTTTATGTATATTTGTATAAATGACTGCTTTGGAAACTCTGTGTAAAGCAGATTTACAATGCACTCTCCACGATAGTTCTCAGACTCCTTAAATAATGACAGCAATACAGTCCCAGAGGGTATGTCTGAGACTAGGTTTGGCTCAAATTCCAAATGTCAAAGGCACAAATGATATAGTGTGGCTGGTGGACCAGTGACAGACAGATCCTAACAGCCTTAAATGGTACACAGAGCAGTGGGAATGTGTCCACAGCTGAAATAGTCTAAGTCAGGGATGATCACAAGTTGTGCTTGAAAAGACAGCTAGCTGTGTGGTCAGAAACATGTTAGACATCTCGTAGAACACACAAAGTGAGATGGTGGTGTCTAAATCTCAGTTGTGATTGGAGGCAAGTCCTGGAACAGTGTTTTCCTGACTTGTAAGTGGTGCTCTATTTTCCTACTGACCATGTAAACATACGAAATGTTTTCCATTCATTTTGTTAGCGGGAAAAGCAAGAAGGGGCCCAGCGTCGTCACCCAAGAGAGAGCTGAACAACCGCCAAATTTCCATGTTTCTGATTCACTTCATTTTGGCCTTTTTACTGAGTTTGCTGTACACATGCCTGGTCTCCACTTTTAGGGTAGGGACAGGTTGTCCTCATCTCTACTTTCCAAGGAACTGAATGCAGCCAGCAGGGACCAGCGCCACCTTCCGCTAGTGGGGTAGAGGAGGAAGGGATAGCATCTATCTCATAAGCCACTATTCATTCCAAGCCTTTTCTTCAAAAATTAATGCCTAATTTGGGAGAAATAAAGCAGTTATCGGCCACCTGTCTGTGATGGTAAAACAGACAAACCCACAAGAAAGGCTCTGTCTCCCTAGGAGCAACCCACTGCAAGTGACCTGACTCTTCCCAAAGGGGTATGTGGAGCATTCTGCTGCCTCCAGAGACAACGTTTACTGTGGGTGTCACCTTTTTGGAGGCTACCATTTAAAACACAAAACTCTATTTTGGCACAACAAAATGACAATTTTGAAAGGTGCCAAATTAGGCAAGGGTAAGTGATATGAAAGAATGTGTATAAGCATGTATATGTATGTATTTAAATGTATACATGTGGGTAGTCAAATGCACCTGACCATGTACATAAACATACAGGTATGGATATAAAGCACATGGCTCTTCAACAACCAGCCTTCCTGCAATTCTCTGGAACATTCACCAACGAGAGCTCACTTACATCATTTAATTTTAGCACAAAGACATTTGAACACATTTGTATACGTTATATTCTACCAAGTGGAAATCCTCATTTCAAAACCTTGGCTTATATAAAATCCTCATCCTGTCCAGAACTAGGGACTCTGTATAATCCAGAAACTTGAGGAATCTGAAAAAAAAAAAGGCTGCGATTTTCTAATAAAAATGCAAGTTATTCACATTCAATTGAGAATGTAAGACACTAGAAGCCTATAAATACTCTGCTTGTTTTTCTAAATAACAAATGATCGCCGGGCTCGGTGGCTCAGCCTGTAATCCCGCGCCTTTGGGAGGCTGAGGTGAGTGGATTGCCTGAGCCCGCGGGTTCGAGACCCGCCTGGGCAGCGAGACCTCATCTCTACAATAAATCAAAAAATCAGCCGGGCGTGGTAGCGCATGCCTGTAATTCCGGCTACTTGGAAGGCTGAGGCGGCAGGATCGCCAGAGCCCAGCAGGTCGAGGCTGCGGTGGCCGGAAGCGGCCACTGCACTCCAGTCTGGGTGACAGAGTGAGACTTCCACTCAAAAAAAAAAAAAAAAAAAAAAATAACAAATGATCATATACTCAAGCTTAGAAAAGGAACCACTGTTACATTCATAATTGTTTAATTTCTTTATATATTAAGGCAACTTTAGAAGGAGACAAAAAATAGGTCAGTGAACACACATTCAACCTGTTTCCACTGTTTCCAACTCTGAATTGATAAATGCACAGTCTCACAGGAGCCCGTTAGAAGACGATCGGGAAACTGTACCCGCCTCCCACTTCCAGATGTGGTGAGAGGACCACCCGAAGTAACTCCTACCTGCAGCTGCTCAAGTAAAGAATGCGTGAAGAACTGTAGGTGGTTCCTGATCATGTGATGATACTCAAGGGTACACCCTACCTGGAGAGCACCCCTCCTCCCCTCAGAGCCTCCCCTAGGAGGACGACACAGACGGCATCGTTTCCCAAGGCCACACTGAAGTCCTGTCATTCACCAGCCTTCCTGGCCACACCCCTCTTAGGCTCACACTTCAGCTGATTACATATTTTTGGTCAAAGAGTGAGAAAAACTTCTTTGTGAAAAGCACACTTCTAGTTCCCCTGTTTTGGGAGAGAAGATGTTACCTTGAGCTAGTGTCCTAAAATTGGTCAGCCAGGACTACAAAAAAACTATGAATATTTTTATAGCTTTGGTTACTATACTCAGCTAGCTTGCTTTTCAGAAAGATTAAACTGTCATAAAGGAACAAAATATCTTCATTATCAGTTATACCAAAGACCTGAAATTGTGATATTCTTTGGTCCATTGTTTATCTTTATACATACTTTTAAACAAATGCAAATAAAATGTAAACATAAAATAACCAATTTCATTTAACCAAAATAATGAACCACAAACTAATTGAAGAGATTTCTGCCTTATTCTGAATTATTTGCATAATAAATATTTCTGGTGGCATTAGTTTAATTTTTTTGTATCATTTTTATTTTTATTTTTTTTGAGTTGGGGGTCTCACTCTGTTGTCCTGGATGGAGTGCAGTGGCACAATCATGGCTCACCACAGCCTTGACCTCCTAGGCTCAGGCAATCCTTCCATCTCAGCCTCCTGAGTAGCTAAAACTACAGACACGTGCCACCATTTCCTGCTAATTTTTTGATTTTTTGTAGAGATGAGGTCTTGCCATGTTGCCTAGGCTGGTCTTGAATTCCTGGGCTCAAGCAATCCTCCTACCTCAATCTCCCAAAGAGCTGAGATTACAGTTATGAACCATCACACCCAAGCTAATTTTTTGTGTGTGTGTCAGACACACTGGCTTCCGAACTCTCCTGTCTGAATGTCAAGTACTGAAAGTTACAGGAGGAAATGTGGGTATCTGCAAGAAGTGAGGCCATAGGACCAGAGCCCTTCCCCCAAATAGCCACAAGACTGGAGAAGCAGAGAGGCAGATGACAGTAACAGCAGCGACCTCTGATCCAGCCAACAATTCCTCACATCCTAAAGTTATCAGTTAAAAATGCAGGGCTCCAGTCGGACTTCATGTGTGCTTATTCCAAGTCTTCAAGTTTCATAATCCCTGTGGTGCCTGGTGCCACGTGGATTGTGTGTCCCCAGGGAGCAGCCAGGATAAGATGTCTAGACTGCTTGACGGCACCTTGCAACCTGGCTCTTCCCCAGCTAGGCACACTCTGGGCAGAAGCTGCTCCCCAGGCACGCCAGAGATCCCCTCCCCATGGCTCAAACAGCCTAGGTCCTCAACAGCCTCTTCCTGGATGTCCTGAATAGCCTCTTCCTGGATGTCCTGAATAGCCTCTTCCTGGATGTCCTGAATGGCCTCTCAGAGCTCAGATGAACTCACTCACACTGTCATCTGACTGAAGAGCACTCGAACGCTGCCTGTGGAATCTTTCAAGTCACAAGAACTGTCCTGGGACTCAAACGACATCTACTGGCTGACAGTCACCTGCGGCAGGCAGAACCCAGAACTTCCACTTCT